TTTTGAGCATGTTCTTAAATTCACAGGAGAGAGATGATCTTGTGTCCTTTTGTTACAGATTGGAAAACTCACGCCCGAGGAGGGCTCAGGCGTGCTGAAGTCATTTGTGAACCAGGGGCCCGGCTGAACCAGGAGCTCGCCCGCGCTGCACCCGAGCTGGTCCTCGCCAAGGAGGGAAGCCGGCCCTCTACTCCAAGTCAGGATGCAGGAGGGGCTCTGTTGGCTTGTTAATTATGCAACTTGAGTTTATGTCATTATGGGCAGGCATATGTTGCATTTTATTATGAGTTTATCAGGAAGCATGAATTATTAAGATATAAACACCTAAACCATCATTTGGGTCTTATGTTCTGGTATGTCTTCATTTCTTGACATCCCAGGGATCTCAAACGTGAAGGTGGTGCGGTCTGTCTGGACCTGACGGGCTTCCCTTTCCCGATCTGGAAAACGTGGGTGGAATCATGGTTTTCTGTGCGTATCACAAACAGTGAATGTGTTGCATGCTCTTGTTAATCCTATCTTCTGTTTTTCCTAAACCAGAATTTCCTTCTGCACATTAAAAAACCAACAATGTGTTCTTACTCAAAAAGGGATGAATTTTCCTCTGGCAGAGGAAGCTAATGAATAATATATCACTTCCAAATTGTTTTGCGTTAGTTAAGGCATCTTATCCATAAAAGACACTCATAACTAAGTGCTATTTTCTCTAATATAAGTAAGTGCAAGTGTTTGTCATTGGCAGACAAACCATGGCAGAAACACAGATTATCCCATTTCAGAAAAGTTTTAGAAAATGTGTTTCCTGAGGGCACCTTGGTGGTTCAGTCGGTGAAGTGTCTGCCTTCAGCTCTGGTCACGATCCCGGGATCCTGGGATGGAGCCCCGCATTGGGCTCCTGCTCAGCAGGGAGTCTGCTTCTCCCTCTGTCTCTCCCCCCACGACTTGCGTTCACTCTCTCTCTCAAATAAATAAGACCTTAAAAAAATAGAAAATGTCTTTCCTGTATCTTCAGATGAATTAAATGGATCTCCTACAGCTTGCCCTACTTTTGCATTCTTAGCCACAGACAAAAGTGTGGCTCTTAGTCATAAGGCAACATGCTTTGAGGACTCAGGGTTTGGTCACGTTGCCTTTCTCAGGGCTTACTCTTGGCTTACCTCCTCTTTCACTCATAATCCCAACGAGAAAGACGTCTGAGGAACATTGTTTTAGAGATGGAATATATAATCCTCCTGGAATATTTAAATTCTGCAAAGGAGGACATTATGGATAGAAGTGTGCTCTTCCTGGAGCGGGGACGTCCGAGTTTTTCTGAGCTGACCTCAGTGGCTAAAGACACCGCATGTTGGAAGGATGGAAAGTGAGCATTCGGTCTTGCCCAGGGCCAGTGGTATCACCTGTGTCCCACCACTGCCCCCCCAGTGCCTTGGAAACACAAAATATTACATGATGATGGTCCTCTAGTGAATCCAGACTCATTCGGGGTTTAAATGCACCTGCACACCCTGGGGACCTCACAGATGAGCACGGACAATGTGGGTAGATCTCAAAATCCGTGTGAAGGGAAACATTTTATTTTTTTATTTTTATTTTTTAAAGATTATTTATTTATTTATTTGACACAGAGAGAGACAGCGAAAGAGGGAACACAAGCAGGGGGAGTGGGAGAGGGAGAAGCAGGCTTCCCGGCAGAGCAGGGAACCCGATGCGGGTCTCGATCCCAGGACCCTGGGCTCATGACCTGAGCCGAAGGCAGATGCTTAACGACTGAGCCACCCAGGCGCCCCAAAGGGAAACATTTTAGAAGCAGGACAGAAGTTAGAGCATCATTATTTACATGAAAAACACCAAAAACTTGCCACATATTTTCTATGTGTTTTTTCAGGACCATTGTCAAACATATTAGTGCTTCTGGACAGAACAGGAATGGAAGCAGAGGTAAGGAGGATAAAGAAAAAGAAATAGTCTAAAATAAAAACAGGAGCCTCATGTGAACCAATAGGGATAATATGGCACTCGTATATATATTTGGGGCCGAGACAGACAAGCTGTTTGAACACGGTAGCAAAGCTTCAGGTGCATTTCTCAATATTGTGGACGCCTGCTTGTGGGGTCTCAGCTGATCAATCACCAGTGTTGTGGTTATTGTGCTTCTTCTTATGATTGCAAACTGCCCTCAGCAATGACCGTCAGTAGACTTTGGGGGGAAAACAAGCTTCATCATGTACGAGTCCCGGAAATTACACAGCGCACTGGAGCCACACAGCAAGGTTACAGGTAGAGAGCGAGGAGTGCAGGGGCCTGCAGTTCTCCTTTCGTCAGGGCTCCGGGATCCGGGGCTTAGGGTTTCATGGGCTCATTATTAATTGGTGAATTTAAAACATAAAAGTGGTCATTTAAATTGCAGAAAGAGAAAAAAAGGAGGGCCAAAATAGGCAGTTATGGAAAGCAAACCAGGCTCTAAAACAAAGGAGTCTAGGGGGTGCTAGTGTTGGGGGGCGCCTCTGTATCTCAGCCTGCGGCTGGCCATGCACCTACTGAGTCAGAGCTTCCTACCGGGCAGTTACATCCTGAAAACAAAAGCTGACTTGCCAGGGTTGCACTACTACATCCCAACCCTTGTTCTGTAGCAAAGCCCCGCTCAGAAATGATCCAGCCCCACTATCCAACATCCGTCCACGCAGCAGATGGCCGCAGGGGCAAAATCCAACACAGCCAACGTGGGGAACAGTGTGCGGAATCATGCCGCAGAGTCCCCTCTGCTAAGACAAAGCCACAACATCTGCATCACATCCCTGCGCGAAAGAAGAATGGTTTCTGAGGCAGCGCCCTCAGGGAGTACCTGCGTGACTCAGTGGGTCCGAGCCCAAGCCACATGAGGCACAGCAGCTGTGCAAAAGGCAAAGCTGCCCCCGGATGGGAGAGGGTAGAGAGCTGATCAGAATGAACTCCACTGGTGTGACTCCAGTTAGAAGGAAGGACGGTGAGTCTTCCCCTCCCCCTCCCTCCAGCTCCCCCTTCTCCTCCTCCTCCATCATTTCCTCTTCCTCCCCTTCCTCCTCCTGTCGGTTCACTTCCCCTGTATTGTGGGAACAAGCGGATCCATAGTTGGAAGGAGGAGCAAAGCAAGGAAGTGGAATCTGAGGAGTCGCTTTGACAGATCTGGCTGACGCTGCCTGGCATTGACCTTCCAGGTGATTGACCATGACGTCCTGAACACTAAGAGCCTTTGTTGTCTCTCTCCGATCAAGAAACATCAGTCAGTCAACCCTTCTACTTACTTGTTGCCATAGACGATATTTGACCCAATTTCAAAGCTCAAAGTCCCATAGGGCAAATGTAAAGCTTAAAAATAAAATTCCTACACAAGACCCTACCTGGGGGGTTATACTTTCGTGTACACATGCTTAACTTGTCCTTTAGAAAGAATTCAGCCTCCTGTACTCAGAGGGAAACTGCCCTCCAAGGCATGGGAGATTGGCTTATATTTTTCCAAATGCCAGAAATCAAGCATTCATCTTATATGCAAGTTTAAGGGATCAATTGTCACTCAAATTAAAGAGAAACCGATCAGAAAACCATAAATCTAGGGGAGCCTGGATGGCTCAGTCGGTTAGCATCTGGCTCTTGATCTCAGCTCAGGTCATGATCTCAGGGTCATGAGTTTAAGCCCTGCATTGGGGTCCACACTGGGTATGGAGCCACAAAGATGAAAGAAAAAGAAAGAAAGAAAGAAAGAAAGAAAGAAAGAAAGAAAGAAAGAAAGAAAGAAAGAAAGAAAGAAAGGAAGGAAGGAAGGAAGGAAGGAAGGAAGGAAGGAAGGAAGGAAGGAAGGAAGGAAGGAAGAAAGAAGGAAGAAAGAAAGAAAAAGAAAATCAAAAATCTATATTAACTTCACATTAATTTGAAGTCAGGTTTCCTACAGTAGGTGGATACATACCTACCATTTATCTGGTATGTATCAGCTCTGAAAATGTAAAACAAGTTGAAATTTAAGAAAAGAATTGAAATAATGTCAAATGACAGGCTGATTCTAGATAGTTCACAGATGGGACTGTGTCTCATTTATCTTGATGTTTTGGGCACAGAGCAGAGACATCAGACTTAATGTTCATTGAATTATATAATTAATCAGATAAAGTGAAAAATAAGCAGGATGCAAATGAGAAGCAGATTTTACTGGAAAAGCATGTGGGAGATGGAATATCTCTGGACCTGCCACTTACTTTCTGACCTTGGATAACATGAATTAATGTATCCGGGCTGTGGTTTAATCCTCTCCACAGCAAGGGACTGACCTGTGTGTCCTCCGGGGCCCTGGCTTTCTGTCATCTTTAGTACTCCTCAGGTCAGAGATAGGCATGGGGGTCTGCGTGTAAGGTCATGGCTGCTGGATCTAAGTGGACCAAACGGACAGGCCAGGACTCGCTTCTCAATGATTCACAAGAGGATGCATCGCTTTGATTTGGAGCAGAACGGGGAGAAGGAAGCTCCACAGGGTGGAATCCAACTCACAAAGGCACATTAGCCACATATTTATAAGGCATTTTTTGAGAAGTAGAGTCACCTGGAAACATTTTCCCCACCCCATTCTCTCTCCCCTGGATATGTTTCTGCTTCATTTCTCAGGTTTTTTCTTAGTTTTTAGCATGTGGAGATTTCTGTATCTTCCTCATAAGAGTTTTCTAGACATTTATGCCAAAATGATCTTCCATCTATCATGTCTAGATGGTGGCAAAGGGGAGGGTATTTGGTTGTTTTACGCTCCCATGCTGCCCCTGGCAAACTGTATTTTCCAAAACGGCGACCATGATCTCTCCCATCCCACACGCTCTCCTTCAAAGTGGTGTTGATACTCCCATTGAGCGGTGTGGTCTATGTACCCGCCCCTTGAGTCTGGGCGTGCCTCTCATTATGGCTGAAGTCATGCTTTGTGATGTCCATGGCTAGGTCATAAAAAGCTTCCTCCCAGTTCTTCAGGCACACCTGCTCTTGGAACCTAGCCACCATGTTGTGAGGAAGCCCGAAGAGACAGAGCCCAGAGAGAGGCCCTCAGCTCACAGTCCTGGCTGAGCCTCTGGTAGACAGCCACCTGAGTAAGTCCTGTTGAAAGTGCGTCCTTCAGGTCCCCACTGAGTTACTTCTGCTGATACTGGGTGGAGCGGAGACTACCTCTGCCAAGTGTTGGCCAATTTGCAGATTTGTAAACAAACTAAATCAGGATTTTTCAGCCTACATGTTTTAGGGTGACTTTGATACAATGCAACAGATAACCTGAGCTTTTCTTTTCTTTTTTGCCCCAGGGAAAACACTTATCAGTGTTCAATAAGATGAAGTAAAAAGGTGAAGAATAGATACATTTTTTTCCCTCAGCTTACTTCCAATAGCCTTGATGTTTCCTTCCAGATTCAGAAATTAGAGGGGCCACCATTTCTGTGGGGATGGAGGATACCTTTGTTTATTTGTTTCTTTTCTTTCATTTTTTAACGAACATTTTAGAGCTATTACATACTGCCAGGGGTAGAATAAATTGGCACAGTTTTTTGACAATATCTGGTTAATTTGAAGACACATATTCTCTGCGATATAACAAATCCACTTCTAATTATTTACCCTGGGTAAATATATATGCATGGGACTCAGAGTTTGTATATTAAAATATTCATAGCAGCTCTAGGCAGAGAGTAAAAGAAAATTTGGAAAATTAGAAGGAATTAGGAGAGATTTACCCCAGGGGCAGCAAGCAGACACCACGAGAAACCAGAAATCTCTAATGAGCTGTAGATGAGAAGCACTTTGGGGTAATGGCCATGACATCAACACTAGTCACACTAATCCCAGGTTTCCTGGATTGAAATCCTGGCTAGGATGCATCCTAGCGGTATAACCTTGAGCGGATGTCTTAACCTCCTTCCTTTATCTACAAAATGGGGTTACTAGCGACATCTACATCACAGAAGCCTGATGAAGATCAAGGGAATCAATGCTGGCATGCCCTGTGGAGAGGGACTAGTGTTTGGAAATAAGGATGGCAGGTGCAAAGCCTGACCTCACAAAGACAGTGAGCTGGAGACCATTGACATCAGTGCTATCTCCCTCCTTATACCGTTGCACCCTGGGAGGTAAATCATCTAAAATATTAGATGGGAAAATAAATAAATAAAAGAAAATATTAGATGGGAAAAACAAACAAACAAAAGAGCACTTGAAAAACCTACAGAAGAACCGAGGCAGAAAGGAATGCAGAGGGCCAGAGGACATGGTCAAGGGTCAAGACTGTCATGCGCACAGAGGACCCAGTGACATAATGGCTGTTTATATCCTTGTGGGAACATAAATGCCAAGAAGGCAGAATTGAAGCCCAACACTTTTTCATTCATACAGGCTGCACTGCAACAAGGAAGGGTGACCTAGATCCCCAAGACAGCAAAATCACAGGCTTTCTTCTCCCCCTCAATTTGCCCCAAATTTCTTCCATTCCTTGAATCACTCCAGACTTCCTTTGTGACCTTCCTAGGAGGAATGGCTTTTCGTTCCTCAGGAAAACTGACTTTGAAATACAACTTTAATATGCATTTGAAAAGAGGTCAACCTGTTTTTTTTTTTTTTTTAAGAGATCAAATATACCTTTGAAAACAAGGGGTTCTAGTATTTGTTCAGAAGAACAAAAAAATGTGTGACTTTGAAGATACATAAAGGAGTCATGATGGCTGTTTGAAGGAGAGAAATGTTAAGAATATTTTTATTAATTGGGTCTTTAAGCAAATTAATGTTAGAAAGTTCTTTTGGTGATGGAGGCTGTGGTCCACATCAGCATCCCCAGGGGCTGCTCCTTAATAAGTTCCCACCATAGGTTTGTTAAATAAATAATGGCTGGAATCATCAAAAGCCAAGGCATTCATACTCAACCATCTTATGACCCGTGGTGCTGCTCTTTACCAGTCAGTTACTGGATGAGCATTGAGAAGCTAAGTAACTTGCCCAGAGGCACCCACTGGGAAAGAGTAGATCCAGGATTTGAACCCAGGCAGCCTGACCTGAGTCAGAACCCTCAACCTCTCAAAGGACTAACTGTCTGGAGGGGACAGAGGAAGGAGGAATATAAAGCAGGAGCAGAAAAGTTGAAAGTGGAAAGAGAAGGAAGCATCCGGTTTGGAGGCCATTAGCAATCAGAGGATTCTGTCCAGGAACACACCAGGCTAGGAGAAGACGGCTGATTTCAACCCACCATCTTGCAGAAAGCAGGGGCTACATTTCTTTCTCCAGGAGCCTCAGAAGGATGATGAAACGTGTCTGGGACATGCACGTTTAGCCAGAAAAAAGAAAAAAAATGGTTTCAGGATTATTTTGGAATTATTCAAGCTTTCAATTATGTCATTTCTTCAGGAATGACTCTCTCATGTGAAATATATTCTCCTTCCATGTTCATATATTTTTAAATATTTAATTTTGTATCGATGAGATCACAGGAACTGCTGTATGTCTTACTACTCTGAGGCTGTGTTAAATTGTCTGTAAAAGAAGGATTGGGGATGCCTGGGGGGCTCAGTCATTAAGCATCTGCCTTTGGCTCAGGTCATTATCTCGGGGTCCTGGGATGGAGCCCCACATCGGGCTCCTGGCCCAGCGGGGAGCCTGCTTCTCCCTCTCCCTCTGCCTCTCCCCCTGCTCATGCTCTCTCTCTCTCTCTGTATCTCTGTGTCTCAGATGAATAAATTTAAAAAAATCTTAAAAAAAGAGAAGGATCTAAATAGTATCCACATCATGGAGATGACGTGAAGATGAACCAAGATCGTATTTGTTAAAAAAGACTCCTACATAATGTCCCCCTCCCTTTGATTCAGATCCCAAGTCCCGGTGTCAGTGTGAATTATCTGAAAACTGCTAGTATTTTTATTTTCCTGGCTAAATTAGCACCATAATGGTGCAATATCATTAACTAAGTTTACAATCTATTCAGCCAACCAGCTGTGAAATAATGTGGTGCTTGATGGTTTCTTACTAATTTGGATGGTATCTATTATTTCCAATTATTCAAATACAGTAATATTGAATTAGCATTTCATATCACACGACAGTTCAGCTGACATGCTTCAAATTTGAATAAAATATAACTTCACTACGGATGCACAGAACTGCAAGTTTTTCTGTGCCCTTCTTGGTTTACTCAGACCATTTCTGGGGAATCAGCTTGGTAAGTCCCCTTGGGCTGGGGGCTCTAAGTGGGGCTCGTTGGCACCAAGTTTTCAGGAAGGGAGAGATGATGCCCAATGGGAAGATACAGCAAAGACGCCTTGACCTCTCCTGAGGTCAAGGGAACTTGGAGAGGACGTTGAGGACGGAAGATGGAGGGGCCATGAGTTAGGGAGAAAGATGACAGGGGGCCGAGTGACAGGACCCTTTTCCATGACCCTGGACGTACCCACTATAGTGACTGAATGGGGGTTTATCCTCTTCAGCACCAGTGACATTTGAGGCTGGAGTCTTCTTCATGCTAGAGGTGATCCTGTGCACGGGAGGATGTTTAATAGCACCCCAGGCCTCCACCTACTAGATGCCAATGGTGTCTCCTTCCCAGTCATGACAACCAAAAATGTCTCCAGACCTTGCCAAATGTATCCTGGGCAGGGGTGCAAAATTTCCCCTGTCTGGGAACCACTGAACTAAACCTCTGAGATTCTTGCTGGGATTGGACACTCTAGAAACCGAAGAAGGGGCTCAGTCTGGTGTCTGCATTAACAGAGGGAAAAGGAAAACAAAAATGTGGAGAGAAATGTACAGAGGTGCCCTGGAGGAAGAGAGGCCCCCAGATATTTGCAGACATTGTATGTGTGTGTGTGTGTGGGGGGGGGGTGTATGTGTTGGGGGTGGGGGGGCAGTCACAGGTCCTGGCAGAGGGTTACCATGTACAGTTGGGCGGGTTGCACATAACTCTGGGGGTCATAGTTCATATTCACAGTCATCTTAGATTTTTATAATCCTCAAGACAATATTCTTTTTTTTCTTTTTCTTCTTTTTTTCCTTCTTTTTTTTTCATTTCTTTCTTCTTTTTTCTTTTTCTTTTTTTTCTTTTCTTCTTCTTTTTTTTAAGTATTCTGATTGAAGTTTGTGATAATTCAAAAATAAAAATAGGTTGTTAATATGCCAAAACTCAAGACAATATTCTGGTGGGCAGCCCCAAACTTTGTTGAAAAAGATGGTTTTTGTCTGATGGATTGATTTTTTTCCCCCTAATTCACATTTTAAAAGTACCATTCTGGTGAGCTATGGAGCTGAACAAGAAAAAGCAAATTGTATTTATGCAAATATTTAAGGGAAGGGAGGTTTTATTGCAAATGGTTGGGCGGGAGGGTATTAGTGTGAGTGAGATTTGGAAAAAAACGCGTGAGAAATTGTTAACAGTGTTTCTACCTGGAGTATGGGCCCAGCGACAGATGCTCTTAGAGTGACTTTGTCTTTATACACTCATGAATAAATTGTGTATGACTTTTGTAATTTAGAAAAGCAAAGTAAGTTAAAAATGCAATAAACTTGAAAATGACCTTTATAATTAAAATCGCACCAAATATCTATGTGTTTCCAAGAAAGGACAGGGCACGGAGACCTTACGTGGGTAAGAATGAATTCCTCGAATCAGGATATTCCTTCAGGAGTTTCTCCTGTAGGACGATTTGGGACCTTCCCAGACCCTGTCACAGGCTCGCTATACTTGAGTCCGCAAAGCCTAATGGAAGATTCTCTACATAATAATTCACTCGTGACTTTCTTCTGGTCCATGTGCACCAAGGAGATGTCGCCCTTTCTCACCTCCTCTTGGTTTCCAAGTGATGAATGTGTGAGGTTGAATCCCATTAGTTCGCAATTTTATTTAGGGATATGCCGTAGATTACATGGAAGGGTATTTGAGGATGATGACACATTTTTCACATCTACCGACTCTACGGATGTGGCTTTTATTAGATGCCAGAAGTGAGTCCACGGTATATCAAATTCATGCTCAGATTTCCCATTAGCTTCTAACAAGTTAAGATCCAACTAAATGATACAGGGTGCAGGGAAGTGGTTGCCAAATATTGCAATTTTCTCCCCAGACCCATAAAAAACCTGCCCTAAGACAAAAAGAATGGAAATTAATTGTTTTACCTTCAACTCAATAATGCAGTGAGGGCTGGCCTGGCAGCCTCATGCCTCAATGCGTGCAGCTCAGAAGCACATTTTTCAGGGGTTGAAAATTGTTTACCAAGTTTGCAAATCCCGTTACAAAGGAACTGCTTATTTAGATTCTTTCCGTTTTAAATCAGACTCCAAAGTTAAAGAGAGAGCACAGCAGGATGGGTAGAACTTTCCTGATTCCAGGGACTTCATATCCTTTGAAAAATTGCTTGTTCTATTTTTATTCCTCTTTGATGCATAAACTTTGAGCTCCTGCTCCACACAACTCACCCGTAAACAGAAACCACTATTGAAATATTTCCTTTCTTTAAAAAAAAAAAAGATATATGTTTTAGGAAAGCTCTACCAAAAGGGAGGAAAAGGCTATTGGCTGCATTGTTTCCTTTTCAAAATATACATTGGGATAAGACCCAAATTTAATTCAACGTTTCCACCAGCTTTGAAGATAGCTATTGAACTCTGAGAGCGAGGCCAACCTTATCAAAACTGTACCATAATGCAAAAGTTTCATTTAATTTTGCATCCAGGAGGGGAGGAGTATGGAATGTACTATCCTGATAATAAACACACAGAACAAATCCATTACACACATGAGCTCTGGGGAAGGAGGTAGAGTACGTGGGAAGCAAGACTAAGTAGGACTTGGAAGAATACAATGTTTGAGGCTAATTTACATGGGAAAACAATCCATCTGAGAGTTGCCTGGTGATGGGCCATCATTATAGGCAGGAAGGAGACCCACTGACCATCAATTCTTTCTTTTTTTTTTTTAAGTAAGCTCTATCCCCAATGTGGGGCTCGACCTCATGACCCAGAGATCAAGAACCAGAAGCTCCACCAACTGAGCCAGCCAGGCACCTCATCCATTCTTAAAACACAATTATATCTTTGCTCAGAGGCCCCTTGAGACAATCTCATTCATTCATTCATTCATTCATTCATTCATTCTATAAGTATTTACTTGGTGTCTAGTATTATCCCTGGTTTAGATTTTCTCATTTACAAGCTACTGGGGAAAAAGATGAGCAAAGACATGGTGATTTTAGATAAAGAGCACTCTATTAGAACCTTGAACTTGGTGTCTCAGGAGTCCGTAGGAGTGTAATGTGGCAAATCCTCAGGAAAATTCCAAAAGAATCCTTGGATTTCTATCTGCACTTTATTTATTTATTTCTTTAATTTCTAAATTTTTAAAAAGGTTTTATTTTTTTGAGAGAGAAAGGATGTACACGAGTGGGGGGGGGCACAGAGGGAGAGGGAGAAGCAGAGTCCCCACTGAGTAGGGAGCCCAAAGCAGGGCTCAATCCCGGGACCCCGAGATCACAACCTGAGCTGAAGGCAGACGCCCAACCGACTGAGCCACCCAGGTGCCCTTGCATTTTAGCTATTTATTTCATCCCTCCAAAAGAGTACACAAGGGTGATAGATCGTGCCAAATATGCTACACTCGTTCCTATAAAACATTTATGTTGCAACACTTAAGGAGCATGGATGAAGTGCAGTTCATTTCTTAAATCCCCTTTGATGTGTTCAAGTTCTTATGATGGTAGGAAGCCTTGAATAAATCAGGGAGGGACATGTCCCTTTGTGCCTGAAATGATGCACAAGAAAGTTGTAATTGGATTTTATGGATGCAGGAAATAATCGGATCAGGTTTGGAAGGAGGACGTTAACCTATCAGCAGGGTCCACAGGTTTCTGCCCTGGGAAAAATTATGAGGGTAAGAAATTCCCTTCCTCCTCACCAGGGCAGAGACCCCCCCCCAACAACATAGGGGAGCAGGTGGTGGGGTGGGGTCCCCTCTGTCTCCCACGCCCCCTATGAGCAGGACGAGCCAGCTCAGGTACTCGAGACTATCTGACAACTGGAATTTCCTGCTTCCATGGAGAAATGGGCAGTCTGGGTCTTGTGTTTGATAGCAAGTGTGTGGAGGCCAAGCCTGTGAGCAGATCCTCTCTACAGATTGTCCTGAATCTTCCATCTCACTGGAATGAAATAAATCACATTATTCAGCTCAGAGGAGAGACACATTCTTCACTTTGGCATTTCCTTAAAAATGGAAAGCATTTAGGAAGCATGAGGGGAGCGTTCCTGAAGAAGGGAGCCTCTGGGTTGAATACAGGACAATTATGGAAAAGGTGGAGAAGCAGCAGATGAGGTTGTGTTTGGACAGTGGCAGGGGCACCCGGTGGATGGAGAGGGAGATGCTAATCCTTCAAGGATGGAAGCTGCTTAGCTCAGGGTCTGCAGAGATTTCCAGGTGGCCGGAGGCTGGGATCAAAAGGAAACATCGTGAATCATGAGCCAGGACTTTGGACTTGGTCTGAGAGCCACAAGGAGACTGGAGAGATGATGAGAACATGGATGGCCACAGTCAGAATTAAACTCTGAAATGTTACTCTGGAGTCTGTGCAAAGAATGAATTAGCTGAATCAGGGCAGGGGACCACGGGGTGAGTAAGGAGAAAGGTCATGGTCATCCCGAGTAGTGTGGGGTGGCGGGAACAGAGAAACTCGATAGACTCGAGGGGTCTTAAGAATAAATGTGTTGTGTTTATTTGGGCCTGAACAGGATTTCTATCGCTTGCAACAGAAAGGATCTTGAGCTCAATGGTACTGTGACTGTTTCTGTGTGTGTTCTTCCCTTTAGAGTTGTGAGCTCCTCAAGGCCACGCGTCCTCTCGCTGAGCATCTATGTCTGTGTTGACCAAGCGCGTGAGCTGCACTAGTGCTCAGCTGAAGACTGCTGAAGGAATGACTGACACGTTAACCACCTCCATCCCTTCCATCGATCCCAGTATCCTTCTTCCAGGAAAATGACGGCTGATGATGGTGATTGGACTGATACTTAAATCTGGTCTACTCTTTTGGGATAGAATCCTCAGAGGGAGTAGGGTGTTCTCCTCACTCCCTTTTAACCTAAATACTATCAAATACCTCAAAAGAAATTTCAGGCATTGCCAAAGACAGTGGTGTCATCCTCAGGGGGCTCTGGACCTGTGCAACCGGTAAGAGATGAAGGTGTTTGTACCTGAACACACATCTCAAATATGTATAAAATCGAACAAGCCTGAGCATCTGTCTCAATTATTGAAAACAAAGCAAAATACCATTGCAGTTTGTGTGGTGAACAAGCGTCCTAGGTCCCCAGACACCCTCCTTGCCCTGACTGTCCTTGGCTTTAGACCCAACTCTTGGGGCTTGGCTCCCCTAAACACAGTCTATGTACCCGTATGTGTGAGGGAGCCTTCCCCGATTCAGAACGGCATTTGTAAAATCACTCCCCAAACATCCTATTGAGAAGAACACTGTGTGTTTCAGAGAAAACACTTCTTATTTTCTAAGCCATGTTTATGACACACTGTCATGGTTACTAGATGATCCACGAGAGTAAAGAGTTTACCGTTGAGATTTCTCAGCTTTTGCCCATGACGCAGAGAATAGTACACCCTGGGGGTGGGCAGAGGGGGACACAGACGACACAGGGAGACCCCAAATGGGCAACGATGTGCTTCGCATTAGGGCTTTGGAGGCACCTCCATGACCACGGACCTCAGAGAGCCCAGGAGCTACCACTCTGCTCCCAGCACACCCCCAGGTACTCAGAAGCATTCAGTGAAATGTTTTCAGACTCTTCATGCAGTCGAAGTTGGGAGCTGGAAGAAATCTGAGGGGCTTGGGGTGATTGGGAAGTGGTATAGCATGGAGACAGAGGGAAGGTCCATTCTCCAAGAGGCCTCAGAATGAGCATGTGCGTCCTCCTCAAAAGGAGGGGTAGAAGACCATAAAGCCCTCGGAATCATTCAGACCCCACACGAGAAGCATCTTCAGACCTGAAACACGGGGCTGGCATAAGGCATAAGCTTTTGAGCCTTTTTGTCTTGGGGTAGTTGTTTCCTCATGAATGGAGTTGACTTGGATCTAAAAAGAGTTTTCATTTCTGGACGCTTGTGTATTGTTGGGAGGGTAGGGGCTCTTGTTGAGAATATGCTTGAGAAGGCCTCATTTTTCCTTTATTAGCCAGTGCTAATCTCATTTCCCTGGGAGTACTTACAGAAGTGACCACAAGCACAGCTACAGAGGAAAAGCCAGAAAATAAATGCACTTGAGTGTACTTGGAGAGACACATCGAGGGTAGACATTACATGCTATGTGTGTTGGTTATTTATACTCTTAACTTTAATTTCTGCAAAAGTGGATATTATACATCTTCTCAATTCCCTCAAGATCCTATATCTTTCATGTCAGCCAGGGGCTTTAGCCTCATCAATGTCACTGATTTTTGTTGTCATCTGATGCAGGCTGTTGTGTTAACATTTATTTGAGCTAGAGAACTTTCTGGAGCTTGCCGCATCAAAGGGTGAACTATCTTTCAAATTTGAATTAAGAGGTGTTTATGGAAAGAGAAGAACCTAAGGGAAGAATCTGATATAATTGCTAAATATTTTCTGTTTGTGATCAAATTGCCTTGTCATTTTTGGACAAACACAATCGGGCCCTGGTAGACTGGAAATGCAAATGGACCCATTAACAGACGCCACACAAAAAAGGAATTGAGTCATAGTTTTGTTTTTTTTTTAAGATTTTATTTTTTCAGTAATCTCTACACCCAGCATGGGACTCCAACTTACAACCTTGAGATCAAGAGTCACACGCTCTACCAACTGAGCGAGCTAGGGGCCCTTGACCTCAAAAGGATTTTTAATTGGTATTTTTTTCCCCTGTCATTTTAGGTACCAAAGATCTTGGGTCTGGAAATACTGCAATCCATAGATAGTTCTCTAAGCAAACCCGTTCACAGAGAAAAGCAGGAATATTTTTATTACCGCCCAACCAGCTTTTCCCTTAATTAAGAGCAGACTCCCTTACAAGTGATGGCAATTGGGTATTAGCAAAATAAACCAGCCGATAAACTTCCACTAGGCCCTCTGGAGAACTTTTTCCCTGGTGTTCAGAATTGAAAGCTGATTGCAATAGCATCTGGAATTACTAGAACCTACCACCTGCTCAGGCACTTAAAGGAATTATGCAATTGTTGAAATTGAGAGGATTATCCCTACAGTCCTGGTCAGAGCCTAGCCTAGTGGAAAATGCACTTTCTTTAATGCATTATTCTTAAGACAGATGAGGGCAGAATCTTCCTGAGCAAAGACATGAAGGGAAAGTGTATATAAATAAGTTGAAGGTGACAGGTGGCGCCCTTTCAAAACAGAGAGGAAATGTGGCTTTTTTTTTTTGTTTTTTAGTTTTTGTTTTTCTCATAATTTCAAGCCATGATTGTCTTTCACGTATGGTGTTGCCTTAATCCTGACCTTGATGACGTGGGCTGGACAATAAGGCAATATCACCAAACACAGGATGATGGATTCTACAAACCATCCATTGAAGGGGTCTATAGAAACTCATTACATGTGGTTTTCCAAAGCTGAAGGGAGTCCACTCATTTTGGATGGCTTAAGCAAATATCTGCCATGTTTCCCAGATAGATAAATGTCACAAATATCTGCCTAGGACAGATACCTGTCCTATTTCCGGGGGACATCCAAGGACACACAGAAGGTGGCACCCAGCCCAGGGTCACACTCCGTGAGAAGACAGGGCAGGCTCGATGGACAAAGAAAGCAACCAAGAACCCGTGTCTGTCCATAAAAGAGAACCCATGAATAATTGCGGGGCAAAAATAACACGGTTGATAACCATCAGCCCGGTCGGTCAACAGACAGAGCTGTCTAGAACGGGGTGAATTATGGTGCCCGCCATCCTCAGCCTTCTCACGAAACCAGGAGCACAATCTAACTCTTAGCAAAAGTCTTTTGCCATAAGATGGTGGAGAGAGGTTACCCAGAGTCTGGATTCAACGTGCGGGCTAAAATATTTTTTTAAATGAAAATCTAGATTCTAGATTCTGTTGAATCATAGAATCTGGATCCCTGAGTCTGCATTCTCAAATGACAATTGGCCAGGACGGGTCTTAATCCTCTCTTCCCTTTGATGTACCTGCTCCCTACTTGATACACTCATCACCAATCTATTCACCGGCTTAGATTATGGGTCTGGAAACTCCAGGCACTTGAGTTTGAGAAATCCCAAAGAGAAAGGGGATGCATGAAATGGCCTGTTACTGATGTTTGGTCCCTCAGATTTCAGAAGCTCCTGTTGCTCTCAGCCCATGGGTTTTGTTTGTTTGTTTGTTTTCTTCCAGACCCAGAGCATGGTGGGGGTGTCTGCAGGTGAAGAGATGGCTTCCCTGGGAGGTGACATTTCATGACTGCGTTCTGTGGGCTTCCTGTTGGTTTTTCTGTCAGACTGATGCTTTTTTGTGGGTGGAGCACCGTTGTCTAGAATTTTATCACGTTTCTTAATAATCATCTTCATTCTGCTCCCTGGGTGAACCTAATACAATTTCCCAACACATCTGTCAAGTTAATCCATTTGCTGTCAACTTGTATTTGGAGTCAAAACAAATAACTAAATCTTTAATTTATAGCATGAATTTCTTTAAATCATGTGGGACTAAAAGACAGGCTTTATTTTTATCCCGAGACGCATTCTGCAAGCACCATTTAATATCACATTTGTTCGGTGGGTTGAATAAATCTCGCCATCCCGGTTTGCTGCTAGGGTTATTAAATATACTCAGTCTTTTAATCCTGCTAGTTCTTCCCCAATTTTTGTTGGAAAAAATTCTCCGCTGTCAAAAAGAAATATATAGGTCACTTCCTGAAGTCCTCTTTGCCCAGAAAAAATTAATTACAGAATTTTCCTTATGCTATTATGTGACTGCATACTTTTTTTTTACTTAATAGTTCTGCCCCTACAATCAAGTGAAGGCTGAGGAATAGGAATTATAATTATTGCTATTAAAGCTGTAGGTATCACATCATGAGGTATGTACTCCCCCAAATGTGAACCCCTTTATCAGCAAGTGGCTCTTTTTATAAAGAATTAAGTCTGAGCTGCAGCGGGGTCTGAGGTCTGTGAATTTCCCGAGGTCAGGGACGCTATTTCTGAGCAGGTCCCCGTTATTACCCGGGAAAATTGCCGCGTCCTTCTGAAGAATGCAGAGGCCACACTGCGGACGGGGTGGGACTCTACGGTCCCCTGAAGGTGTTTTGTTGGCAGAGAGGTAGCCGATAATCTGGGATATAGACTGAGGTGTGGACATCTGGGGGTCTGCCCCCCCAACCCCTGTGATGTGGATTGGAGTCCATGAGCTGGTGGATTCAAAATCCAAAGCTTCCCGTTTTCTGAGAAAGTGTGTTTCGTGTGAGCTTCATCGAAGAAGAAAAAATGACGGGGCTTTATGACAGCGTATGCTGCGCTGTCAGGTCCAGTCCCGTAAAGGAGAATTTCCGATTTGATGGCCCGTTAAACAGGACGGAGTCCTTTACTATTAGTAGGACTTGTCTGCCATGCACAGCGGTGGATTCAGCCCCCAGGAGGAGACCCAGCATTCTCCTCCGGCTCTCGCTGGCGTGTTGGGCTCCTCTCAGCCACAGGACACTATTTGGTCCCTCCTTTCGGTTGGGAGACAAGAGGGGCTTGGGGGTCACCCTGGGTCCCTTGCTTGGGACCCACATGCGGCCATTAGCGCTCTGCTCACAGTGCCAAGGAGGAGTTCCTTGTGGGACCAGCAAATGGGAGAGGGCGCTGGCTCACTCTATGTTTGGGTACAGACTCCCAAACTATTTGGGCGATTTGTCGCCCCAGCACTGTCTTCTCCTTGCTTCTGTCTTAAACTTTCTCTGACCTATATCCTCAAGCACAGGGTACCTTCCCTCCAAGCGGACAGGAAAAGCTCACTGCGACGGTCACATTTTCTTCTGTGCCTGTCATTTAGATCAAAACCTAAAATCTTGAAGAGAGCAAGATTCTTAGAATGCCACCCCCCTCCTTTTTGGCTCTATCTTGAGTTCAAAATTTCTATTATGCATCTCCAAAGCTACCATAGAGTTGCTTGATGTTCCTTTACATTTCTCCTGTAAGTGTGGTCCTTTGGGCAGTAAGCCGGAAATGCCCTTAGCTGCTCGGTCGTGAACAGAAGGACAGGGAAGGTGGGGAAGATGCCTGCCCT